TTTTGGGCATAACATGGGGAGCTTGCATAATCTGAGATGTGTGAGTATGAAAAACAGTATTTGCATTGTTGTGGGTTTTTGCGTGTTGGGTGTACTTTGTAAGTAAGGGCGCCAAATGTAATGTGGATGGGGAGTGTAGTGGTGTCAAATGTGAGGAAGGTTGTTTGTGTGTTGGGGTTGTAGGTGGTGGGTTGTCTGTTGTTGATAGTTCTATAGTTGGTGATTTTTGGTTGGTTGGGGATGGTGTTAGCGATGCTGATGTAGTGTTTGATATCTGATTCAGTTTCTCTTGTGTCTATGTATATAACGCCTTGGATGGATGTCTGCCAGCATGGATACTGCCAACTTGTCTGTTTTCCGTCGATGAGTGTGTTTTTTAAGGTGTTGTTTAGTGCTTGTTGGTCTGTGAATGTGATTTGAAGCCTCGTCCGCAAGCAATTATTTATGTATTTGTATTGTATGTTGTGTTGTTTGAGTCAAAGGGCAAATTTGTTTATTGACTATGTGTGGTTGAGTGGCGTGTGGGTGTTTGTAGCAAAGGCAAGGAGGATAAGTTTGTTTTCTTGGGGTTGAGGTGGGGTAGCTTTGTCACATTGTTTTTGCTAGATTTGGTTTTCGGTGGGTGAAATGTGTGGGCATTTGGTGGATTTAGTTTTGTTGCTTGGGGGTTGTGAGGGAGGGGTGGTTGTTTGGTTGTTTGTTGGGGTAAGCTTAGGGAGTCGAAATGAATACCAAAATTAATGGGGATGGGGTTTAGTTGATGTGGGAGGTGAGGGTGGGAAGTCTTTGTTGGTGGAAAACAGTGAGAGGGTAAGGGGGAGGCCATGATGAAGTGTAGAGGGGAGGGGGTGTTTGGATGGGTGGGCAGTAGGGGCTGGAATTATGTACACTATATACAGCAATAAATACAAACAAATGGAAAATAAAGCACATATATACAAGAAATTAGCAAAAGAAATGAGAGATGATTTTATGGAGAGCAGTAGTAGCTTGATTGTTTTTAGGTTTTGCGTGTATCCTGGCCCCAGGGCCGCGGTGGGCGGCCGGTGGGGTGAGGTCTGAAAGTCTGTTTGCTGTGGGCTTGAGAGGAGGAGGAGATTGGTGATGGCAGGGACAGCTTTTTGTTGGTAGCAATGGCGGCGATCGGTGCAGGGCGATTAGTCACTGTTAATTACCTCTAGGCCTACATGTTGATGCTTGACACTGAGGAGGAGCAATTAGTGCCCATAATGCGATGAAAAGACCCTTAAGCCCATAACAGCCCACTGTTGTCACTTTGGGTACTCACATTCAATCTGCTCATTTCCACCTTTCACGGTCCCCTTTGATGTCGGCAATGTAAACAAATAAAACAATGGCGACCAGATCACGTCCACGCGAGACTACCTAAATCATTATAAAAACACACAGCTGACACTTTAGGTGTATAGTGTATGTTTATTTTGTTGTATAACGCGGAAAGATATTGTCAAACTGTAATGTTAGATTTAGATTAAAAAACAAGAAAGTGTTTTTCCCGTGAGTCTTTGCGAGACGCCATTTTCATAGCCGCCTCAGTTTCCCTAAAAGCACTGGAAGAGAGAATTCGCTACCTGGAAAAGAAAGATGGAAATGGCTGCGAAAAACTCGCAGTACCACGACGGTGTCAGGTAAGACCATTTTATTTTGTTGTCAAATAACGTTTAATGAATTATTTACTTATGTACAGAAATTCGGATTGGTAAACAAGCTAATCTATCGAATTACAGCCACTGGCCATAGGTATTCGTCACTATGCATTATTCGACTTACATGTTAATTTGGTGCAGCTAGAAATATGTCTTGAATTTATTTTAATATCCATTTGATATCGTTCATATTTTGTACATGGGTCATGAATCATCTCAGCTACAAAGACATAATGTCCGTTTTATTTTCAATTCAGTGCGTGTCATGGTTATGGCAATTTTTAACATGGCGGTCTATGGGGAAGGAATACACAATGTTGTATATATGTTGCTCATGTAACTACAATGCGGAAAATTATGTATCTGTGACCAAGATGATTTCCTAACAACCTGCAAAATTTGACAACCAAATATGGAAAACTGAATTAATGAAAATTACACAGCTACACTAAAATAGCATGCAAGTCTATGAGAATTTTGCCGTCGGACGTATGTTTAAGTCCCATGACTGTATAAACAGTTTTGCCTGAACTATTTTCAAAGGTTGGTGAAGTAAAATAAGTCTGTCTAAAAATATACAATTTTGAAAAATATAGCAAATAGATTATATATTAATGGATTTGTTTTATTCATTTAGGCTGTTGTGAGGAAACGTGTCACGACTACTCCTGGAGGAAAAGATCACCCTCTCTTACTGAAGGTATGTGTTTATGGTACTACGAAACATAGACATAATTTTACTTTGAATATTTTATTATTATGCTTCCCTAGATACATTTTCACAAAATGAACCATACTAAAGTTACATTTGCAAATGGATTTGAATAACCGGTAACTTAATCATGATTTCAAATTGGACCAAATAAATCTTAACTTCACACCTGCGTGAAATTGCAGTCAAACTGACCCCTTGATTTTACAATACCGTAATTCTCCAAGGTTATGTCACATGAGATAACTAAACTCCATTCATCAGAATGTTTATGTCGGGCCGTTCACTTACTGATTGCATAACCTAAAGTGATAAATCTGTAGTTTGCTTGTTGGTATAAATGTCGCTGCAATTGTTTGGGTTTTTTTTAAAACTCGAATGAATGAATGGGGAAATGCAACGTGTTATTGTTTATTTTTTTTCAGCAAAGCTGATGATGAGTCTGGAGACTTGAAATGAATGACCAAGGATGGTCAGCTGGAACATGTGAAGGTAATTTTGACCTATCTGTAGTGACTTTCATTATAAATAGTAAATAATTTCCAATTAATAGTGTAGAGTCAAGGTTTATGGATGTCAACTCCTTTATTATGTGAAAACATGTTTCAGAGTGAATGTTACCCCTTCGTCAGGTGTAAGCATTCACTCCGAAACATTGTGTTTTCACATAATAAAGACGTTGACATCCGTAAACATTCATGTCTTGTATTATTCACTTCTAAATACACCTCAAAGACTTAATGGTGTAAACATACAGTCACTACTGGGTCTACCTGTGCCTTCAACAATTGGTTTTACGCCGCTTTTAGCAACATTCCAGCAACATCACGGAGGTGGACACCAGAAATGGGCTCAGTACGAACTGTAAGAGATTGAATATAGCAATTTGATGAAAATCTATTACTAGTACCATTATTACTATATAGAAAATGCAATAAATGTTCAGATATATATAACGTATTACTACCTCTGGACTGGGAAGCATGTAACTCCAGAGCAAATTTTGTATAGATTGTGTGTCCTCTTTAGAAAATAAGATATTTCATTCGGTCAATGAAGTGTATGAATTGCATGATTTGAGTTTCGAGAAAACTAGTGCAAAGTGTAATTGTTCAATTAAACTCTCTTTTATTCAAACTTCCTTTTGGATTACTCATTTTAAATCATCCTTGGCATTTTCAGTTTTTTGTTGATTGATGTTTGTGTAATTTATCAAAATAACCTAGTATTTCGTTATTACCTGCCATTTTCAGAAACTTGCACAAGGCCTAAACAGACTTGCATCTATCGACTGGCCAGATAGACGAAAGAAAAAGGTAGCGACAACACTCACCATAGACATGACATCACCAGTCGTGAGTGACGAAGATGACGTCAATTAGTTGCATTCCGTCCCCTTTGTCTGGGAGTCCAGCAAGCTTAGGACATACACGACGACACTGGACTTGGAAAGAATCTACACCTCCACTGCTCGTGATGGCCAACGTGAGGACGAGGATGAGGCATCCAACCAACCGGAGGGATCTCCGCCCAGGGATGCCCCTTATTGGGCTAACTGACCAACTCTTGTATATAATTGAATTTATTTTCAATTTCATAATGTAATTTTTATTTTATTTTATTTTTGTATTGTAAGCTGTATGTTGTGTTATTGTATGATGTATATCATAGTGGATGTTTAGCGATAGTTGAGACATAGAGTGTGTGGCTGAATGCCAAGGCGTGCAAAGAAATGTCCGATGCAGCTATGGTTTATTACTGTGATAAGTTGTATGTTAATGTTATTTTTCACCATTATCATGATTTTAGAAATAAAATTCATATCTAACATGCTATTTCAAGATAATAACAGTGTAGGAAAGATTTAGAAAATCTAGTCTGTCCACAGGAAAGAGGAATTGCTTATATTGTTTTTAACAAGAGTTTATGATATGAATAATGAGTAATGTTTAAATTTGGCTCTTTGAAATTTATATAAAAAACCTGTGAACCTGAAATTGAAACTGGTAACTGAAACTATGCGGAAACTATGTCAGATTGTTGGTAACTGAAACTATGCGGAAACTTTGTCGGATTGTTGGTAACTGAAACTCTGCGGAAACCTGTTGGAGTCTTATTAATAACTGAAACCTTGCGGAAACCTGATGGATTCAAAGTTAACCGAAACTCAACGGAAACTTGTCGGTGTGTCGGTAACGGATACCTTGCGGAAACCTGTTGGAGTGTGGGTAACGGAAACCTTGTGGAAACCCTTAGAAAGTGGGTAATTGTAAGTTTCCCTTATTGCAGAAACTCAATGTAAAAGAACGGAAACTCACTGGATTCTAGGTGGAAACTTAGTTTCAGTCCACTTTCCACAAGATTTCCGCATTGCAGAAACCAAGTTATTTTTGCTGTGAACATCAGCAGCAGAAAGTGACCGGAAGCTACATAAGCTAAATGATCAAATGATGGATGCTGTCATTGCGATAAACCAGCCAAATCCCAAACTATCTATCTATCTATCAATACTAAAACTTGTAAAGCGCTGATATCAAGGAAAAGTGCTGATGTGTCTGAGAAAAAGAATTTCACTGATCTAGAGCTGAGTTGAAAAAGTGTGTCTTGAGTTTTATTTAAACCAAGTGAGAGTGGTCTGGGATTTGATATGGATTTGCAGTTTATTCCACAGGCATGGTCCAACACATTCAAAGGCTCTTTCGCCTAAGGTCTTTGTGTGTGATGTTGGTACTTCTAGTGGAAGCCCCTCTTTGGATCTGCGCGACGGACGTGGCTGGTATCTGTGAATAAGACTGGACAGGTAGGAGGGAGCTGATCCAACAATTCCCTTCAAAACCAGAACCAGTATCTTATACTGAATATGGTACTTCACTGGTAACTTCCTGGTTTCGCTAGCAACCCTGACAGCAGTGTTCTGGACATTTTGTAGTTTCTGATTTTTGTTGTTGTTGATTTGTGATTCCAAAGAGGAGAGAATTACAACTGTCGAGGTGTGATGTTACCAGTGCTTGGGTCAGTGATGCAGCTGTGTGGTTGTTGATATATCACCTGATACGTCCAATGTTGCGGATGTGATGGTAGGCTCGCTGGAGATGAGGTTGACATGTGACTCAAAATTGACCTGACTGTTTAAAATGACTCCAAGGCTTCGTACTTCAGAGCGTGGTGTGATCTCACAAACACCAAACTCGATTTGTAGCAGTGAAATTCTTGGTCGAAGATGTTTAGGACAGAGAGTCAACAGTTCTGTTTTGTCTTCATTCATTTTGAGGTAGTTACATGTCATCCATTTGTTCAACGCATTCCTGGACTTTCTGGAACGATGCTTTAACGGACTGTGTTTGGAGAGGCTGAAAAGCAATGTATATCTGCATGTCATCAGCGTACAGATGATATTGTAGGTTGTGCTTTCTTGCAATGTCACCTAGAGGGGATTGTATATATGGTGAATAACACAGGGCCTAAGACAGATCCCTGGGGTACACCGAATGAGAGATCAGCCTTTTCTATACACACTGACTGCTGTCTACCTGACGTGTATGGCCTGATCCAGTTAAGTGCAGCTCCTGTGACAATGTTTCTGTTCTCTAGAACTCTAAACAGGACATCATGGTCTATGGTGTCGAAGGCAGCCCAAAGGTCTAAAAAGAATGAGAATCAACTGTCAACAGATTTGACATGAATCCGATAGAGATCTTATGGGACTACATGGACCAACAAATCAGAAGACTACGGGTGACACCTTACACCGTTCAAAGACTGGAACAATGACTCCTCCAGGGATGGTGACGGGTCATGCCTAACGCCAGTAGTCGTCTTATGTCATCAGTACGTCGACGTGATTTTGGCTTGTATTGAAGCCAATGGTGGTCAAACTCACTTATTGATTCAACATTTGATGACATTATGCAGGAAAAACCGCCTTGTTAATTTGTGTAAATGTTCGGACTGTGATACCAGGCGTCTGTCAGTTTCACTCAAACGGCACTTTCGACTTTGTTTAAAGTGAAATCGTGCAAATTTGCTGTAGAATTGAATACTCTTTTGACATTAAACGGATGTTCATTCAGATATGCTTTCTTTTCAAGTTTGGTAGACCACACTGTATACTTTCTTTGGAGCACTAGTTTATATTAAATGTGGACTAACACTTGTTCTATAACATTATTACCTTTACCACCACATGACATGTTGCTGAGAAAGACCAGACTACGGAAAGTCCCTATAAGAATGGATTCGCAACATGGAATTGAGCAAAAAAGGTTACTTTGACAGAAAGGCCAAAAAGTGAAAAACGAAACAAAAACAATACATGTATGTACATCCCATTTATCCAGAACGTGCAGCCAGCTATAAATTACCAAATGAAAAGCTTCTTTTGGAATAATGCAAAGAATTTATTCATGTTAAAATGCAATTGATGTTAAAGGTGAAAGTGTGTCGTATGGTCCTGTGTATAGAGCTCAGGTCACAAATCGGTTAAGCAACTTTTGGGCGCGGAGAGGTAGATGGGTGAGCGTGTTTGGCCGCCTGACTCCTGAGAATTTCTTGGACTTCAGTCCTGCCCCACAACGAAGCACATGTGATACATGTGGTCTCACCTTAGGCATGTGAGTTTGTTCAAAACTTGCCTCTGTACACCCAGGAGAAAATGGGTACCCGATGGGATAAGTCATGTGACTATTAACCTTCTAGCGCCTCACCGGCAGCTTGGGTTATAAGGGTAATAATAATCAGATTGTAGCGCTTTGAGCGTGCCCCTCCGTGGTACGGAATTCAGGGCATTACAAATGCCTTCATTAAAACAGAATTGTATACTTACAAATTGCTTACTAGCGTATGTAGTCAAAATATATACACTTATGAGGTTATTGTCCACACAAAACGTGAAAGCTCTTTAGAACCTACCGAGATTTATCGGTGAAATACTAAACCCTAACCTCCAAGAAGACTAGTCCCCGTCTCCATACGACTAATCAATCAGAACGCGAGTAATGATCTCGGTGCTTCGATAAAAATAATCCAAATACTTAAATTGGGCATTATGTCATTGTTTAGAAAATCATGAAAAATATATATCATCATTTTGAAAGTACAAAGAACATAGGTAACTGAATTGTGTTTCCTCATGTGATGTTTCTAATAAGGATAATGCCACGGACGATGAGAGATTCAAATACACTGTCATCAGAGAGAAATTCAACAAAATTTATCTAAGTTCAAATGTCTCTAAACATACCCAAAAATATATAATACAAAAACAAAATATGAGATGCACATCTTTAGAGTCTCTATAAAAGACATGTGTAAGCTAAATGAGTTTTGTGCAGTGGTTTTTGAGGAGAAGTGGATAAAGTACACCACCTGTTGGATGGAACGAACAGGCTGAATAGAACAAAATATAAACTAAGTTCAAACATATGTAAAAGGAAAAAATTAAGAAATTGGATGAACAAGGTATGATATGCACACCTTTAGAGTTCCAATGAAACACACGTAGAAGCTCAATCAATTCTGTTGAGCAGCTTTTGTGGAGAAGTGGATAGACTTCATCCCCTACAACACTATATTCAGAGAGAAATTCAACAAAATGTATCTAAGTTCAAAGGGCATTAAAATTGGAAAAATAAATAAAATACAAAATCAAAATATGAGATGCACGCCTTTAGAGTCCCTATAAAGCACATGTGTAATCTAAATGAATTCCATAAAGTAGTTTTTGAGGAGAAGTGGATAACGTACATCCCCTGTTGGATGGCACGAACCGGCTGAATAGAACAAAATTCTATATATGGCGGGGGCATAAAAAACAAACACACATTACACGAAGAAACAAACACCAACATATCCTCTTTCTCCGGCGCTGTACTCAATCGTTGTTCTTATTGGATCCTGTACTAAAGGTACACAATTACTGGACCATCGTCACCCTCGTCGACATCGCAGTAATCATGTGAAGGGGGTTTTGGTGAACCTAGATGTACTTTGACACCTTCTCTGTCCGCTGTCATGTCTCTGAAACACACAAATACATACAAAGTATGCCATTTCCGAAACATATGCAACTACATATTATTCTCTGAAACGAACCTTGAAAAAGAATTAATCATTGTTTGAGCATCATTCTAGCAGGTGGTGACCAAAATAACGATAACTATTTTATGGATAACACTTCTTTGTGCTTGAATTCCGATCTCCTCTATTATTTAGTTCTTACAATTCAGAAATCTAGTTTAAATTCTTTGCGTACTCAAACGTACTTTAGGCAAAGATTAACATGTTCACCTGGTGTCTCTTCTAATCTTCACGCAGAGAGGTTTTATATGACAGTAAATTTTTGATAAAAGAACTTGATATGACTGGTTTATCAAATAATGTCAAATATAAGGCTGAGGGCGTTTCTCTTTTCAGCTTTCACCAAAGGTTTAGGACAATATTCAAAACTGAAATCAAATGTCATCTGACCTTCTCACTGATCTGTGCTTAGTGCATATGAATCGGAATGTCTGCTCGGAATGGTCAAATCTAAACAGGAAAATTTGGCCAAGACGTTGAATTCACACTTCAGGTATGATGTGTGTACTATGATACCAATCATTTATGTGCAAACAAGTACCCAGAAATAAAGATGAAAACCCAGTAAAATGGTTTAATATTTGCAACAAGACTCTATGACAAGAGTACGACTTCAATTTTCCATTAGTCTACTTCCCCTTACTGCCTTACATGGCGCTATCATGTCGCTATTTACCCTTATTGAATGTGTGCAAACCTATCTTAATAGGGGGTCATGTATCTACACAGCATTCCTAGATAACGAGAAGGCCTTTGACCGAATATGGCAATCGGGTCTCTTTGTTAAGCTTTATCATCTGGGTATAAGAGGTAAAATGTGGTCTCTGCTACGTCACTGCTACACTTCTATGTATGCTTGCGTCCAGTATAAGGGTGAACAGTCTGATACCTTTTCTGTTAAACAAGGCATCGGTCAGGGTAGAGTTATCTCAGCTTGGTTATTTCTCGTGTACATAAATGACCTCATAACTGAGCTCCGGCAGGTAGACACTGGAATATGTATATATAACGTTAGATTGCCATGTGTACTACTTGCTGATGATACTACACTTATTAGTTACAGCCCTAAAAGTCTACAACTAGCTTTAGACACAGTTGTTAATTACGCATCCAAATGGCGATTAACCTATAATGCATCAAAAAGTAACATTGTGGTGTTTCAAAAAAAGAAGCAACTAATGCGTATGCATGCTTATCATCTTGGAGATCATGACATACCCCTGTCTGATAGTGTAAAGTACGCGGGTGTTCTTCTCCAAAGTAATCTTTCTTTTAAACTATATATTGAGGAGAGCTGTACTAAAGCAAGGCGCAGCTGTTAATTCCCTCCTCTCTGTTGGTCTAAACAGTAGGGATTTGCATCAGTATTCAAGTAGTAAGATATGGAAAAGAATGATATTAACAACGAGTTTTTATGGCTGTGAATTACTACCCAATCTCCATGGTAAAGGCCTTGAACTAACTGAAAGCACTCAGCGCTACTTTGCCAGGATTGTACAAGGTTTTGATAAACGCTCTCCTACTGACGCCACCATTGCTGATCTAGGACTCTGGAGCATGGTCGGCTATATAGATAAATGCAGACTACAGCTGCTTGGGCGTCTCTGTAACTTATCATGTGTCCCAATCTGTAAAACAATCTTTTGTGCATCTACCTCACTCTATTATTCTCATACCAAGAACTTAGACAGTTTATGTGGAGTACTTCTTTCAACAGCTAAGAAATATAACTTACTTCATTATGTATTTGACTACATCTGCACAGGAGAATTCCCGGCGAAACATAAGTGGAGAAAGATTGTAGTAAATGAAATCAGTAACCACGAGGAAGAAGCTTGGAAATATAAACTATCATGCAGAGCTGACTTGTCTAGATATTCTAAAATCCATACATCACTTTCACCTCATGTGTTATACAGCATGGTATTTTTATATCCAGAACTGAGAGAAGAATTGCAATATGTAATAAGGATTGGATCCGGAAGCAAACTATCAAAAGAATGTAAAAAATGTAATACCTTCGCTAACGATTTCTATCACCATGTTCTACTAAACTGTGTATCTCTACTTTCAGAGAGAGATGTATTTTTCTCAACTCTAATCGATAATCTTGATATTGACATGTATATCAAAATAGAGATGATGGAAGAGCATGACATGCTGGCATTCTTTCTTGGTGCCAATAACAATGATATTGATGAAATAACAAGGCATTTCACTATTTTAGAATTCTCAAAGTATCTGTATAAACTAAAAGATATTCTCAATTACTTGTGGTAATAATCTAGCCAATACCTGACTGCTAATAACCTGTATATATTTGGGGAAATGTTCCCATATTCTATGTATGTTTATGTATATATATATATGTGTGTGTGTATGTTTGTTGAGTATTCTGTTATTTATATAATTATATAACCATGATGTTTTGAGGATCTTCGGACCTATCTGGAGGAAATAAAGACATTCATTCATTCATTTATTCATTCATAAGGCTGAGGGCGTTTCTCTTTTCAGCTTTCACCAAAGGTTTAGGACAATATTCAAAACTGAAATCAAATGTCATCTGACCTTCTCACTGATCTGTGCTTAGTGCATATCAATCGGAATGTCTGCTCGGAATGGTCAAATCTAAACAAGAAAATTTGGCCAAGACGTTGAATTCACACTTCAGGTATGATGTGTGTACTATGATACCAATCATTTATGTGCAAACAAGTACCCAGAAATAAAGATGAAAACCCAGTAAAATGGTTTAATATTTGCAACAAGACTCTATGACAAGAGTACGACTTCAATTTTCCATTAGTCTACTTCCCCTTACTGTCGAGAAATGTATTCCAGCATGTCCAACCTTTGGTGTCAACAGCCTTCAAACAACATTTGTTCCTAGCCGTGATTTCTGAGGATTATAGAAATAGACTTACCGGTTTTACTTAATGTTTTAACCTCAGTGTGACATGCGTCACTCCTTATGGAAACTGCAAAGATAGTGTACTTCACCGGCAGAAGGATATCATATCAAGCACATCAGTAGTATTGCCCTGGCAGTATATTTTATGTCACAACAAGCATAATGAATGTAAATCAAAGATTTGTTGTTGTTTCCTGAATCGGAGACGTACTTATTGCAAGATAAAAGGCAGTACTCATAGCAAAATATAATCATCAGTTAGTTGTTTGATCGACATTCTCAAGTTGGTGAGTCAATAATGAAGCAAACAGCTTTGTCGATAACAACAACTAAGCTGTTGTCAGAACATGCTGTGTACATATAATTATCAACACTTGGTTGTGGTCCCATTTAGTGTTGTTTATGCATGTGTTACGAGAGTGTGTCTTTTTTGTAATTAGTGATATCATTGATTAAGTGATAACTATTATGGGTCACAATGTTTTGAGTGTGGGCTGTGTTTGATAGCGCCTCGGAGTTGGTAATTGACAGAAAGATTGAACTGAAAAAGCTTGAAAACCCTACTCATCCCTCAAAACCATTCCTCTTCTGACATTGCAAGGCACGCAAGACTTGTACCCCCTTTTAATGAGAAGAAAGTAGACAAATACTTTCTACATTTTGAAAAGGTAAAACTCAGGATGCTTATTCGGCCTTGTCGATACAGCAAAGTTCAGACTATGATCTTGTCAAAAAGACACTTTTGAAAGCTTATGAGTTAGTGCCTGAAGCTTATCATCAGAAATTCAGAAATGCTCATAAAAGGGACAATAGGACTTTTGTAGAGTTTGCTGGAGAAAAGGAAACTGTTTGATAGGTGGTGTAGGTCTAGGGAAGTCACAGATTTTGATGGTTTGAGACAGTTAGTTTTGATGGAGCATTTCAAGCAGAGTGTTCATTCTGAACTCAAGACTTATTTTGGTGAACATAAGGGTGATGAATTACATGAGGCAGCAATGTTGGCAGATGGTTATTGTTTGACTCACAAGAGTTCTTTTAGGTCTACGGGTAATACCAAGGTTTCTGGCCAAAAGGGCTTTTCCCTGGGTAAGACTTCAGGACATGCAGGTTACAGTGGTGTTAAACAGGTTCAAACTCTTCTGACAAGCAGTCACATTCTTTTCAGTCTAAGCCTAAGACTACCAGTGGTTCTGATCCTGTTTGTGCATATTGTAAAAAGCCAGGTCATTTGATGTCTGCATGTTACAAACTCCAGTTTAAAAATCAGGCTGCAAGTTCACCAAATGCTTTTCTGTCTATTGCACCTAAGCCTTTCTTTCCAGGTGGTTCTGAGGAGAGTTTTA